CGAGTTTTGATTTAATATTATGATAATTTATGTGATGGTGTCTTCAGGAGCCGCTTCTCTCCGCTGTCTCCATTATAAAACTCATCGTCTTCATGCCTCTGTATTAGTTCATAAATAGTACACAAATAACCTGCACATAGCACAAGGAAGGTTATGACAACATTTCGGTCTGACTCGAACCATTGACCGAAGCGTCGTCACAAGCATATTTCTTTTATGTGCGGGTTATATGTGTATTGGTCCAGTCACTGTATTGTGTCTTTTTGTTCTTTATACCCGGGCATCTTCAGTCACGAAGATGTATCGCCAAGCAGTGGCTTTTCGACTCAATTCAGAGATAACACCGGAGACAGTGAAAGACAAGGTAATCAGTCCCTCAGTCTTGATAAAACTAGATCTCAATGTTGAAGAATGAGACATATGGGAATCTTTATTGAGGAAGCGTTTCGCCACACAGTGGCTTCATCGGTCCAGTACAAAGAAAAAAGGTGTAAAGAGAGGAGGAATTTGAGATAATCAGTCCCTTAGCCTGGAATCGATGTGTTCAGTCCATCAATCTTGAAGATTTATGGGTTGAACACATCGATTCCAGACTAAGTTACTGATTACCTCAAACTCCTCCTCTCTTTACACGTTCTTCCTTTTGTATTAGACTGTTGAAGGCATTTATCACATAGATCACAATGGAAAAGTCTGCCGTGTGGGCGAAACGATTCTTTATTACAGTTACCCAGGACGACATACATATTACGAAGGTAACTTTTCACTCGAGTACCTACAAGACGTAGTAGGTACAGTAGAAGACGTGAGGTGAACATATGACTGGTGTCAGGGAGGTGTAGGTGGTGGCAGCTGGCTGGAGTAGACTCCAGTGCTGCCTTATGTGACCTGGTATCAACATGTGTCTTCATACACATATGCAGAAATTACATATAGACGGATCTGCTGCGGTGCACCTTCACTCTTGTACTCTGGACCTGAGTGGGTGAATGCAAGTTATACTTGACTAGCATGGGCCAGTAGGCCTGATGCAGTGCTCCGTTGTTCTTGTGAAGTACATATATGTATACATATGTGCGCGGAGGCATGTGCACACACATATATACATAAGCACACACATATGTTTGTATAATTTCATGCAAAAAATGCTATGTCCACCTGCACTATTCCTTTTGCATGCACTGAGTTAGAGGGGTCTGAAGTTATGGGATATGGGGTGACCTCTCGGGTCGCGCAACGACCGAAACATATCAAGTCCGTCTACGAGTTTATCGAAGACTGTTTGCCGTTCAGCACGTTCGAAACGTCTACCACCACCACCACCACCACAACTACCACCACTATAACTATTACCACCACCACAACTACCACCACCACCACAACTACCACCACCACCACAACTACCACCACCACCACAACTATCACCACCACCACAACTACCACCACCACAACTATCACCACCACAACTATCACCACCACCACAACTATCACCACCACCACCCTTCACATACACCACTGTCGTGACCAGCCTTAAATTCGCGCAGCAGCAGCAGCAGCAGCAGCAGCACCGTGTAATTCACAAAGTTTTAGCACCCAAGGAGCGGTTTAACAGCTGAGAGCCCAGCTGAGAGCCCAGCTGAGAGCCCGGCTGTGAGCCTCCTGCAGCTGTATTTACTGATGCACTGCCATTCTCTAAGTGCATCCAAGTGATTTTTTTTATCCTATTGTAACTCCTATGTTGAACTGCAGCTCCTGTGTCGCACTACAAGCTCCTGTGTTGTTTTTACCTAAACTTCTTAATTGTTAATATGCTGGTGGCAATGTGGACTGATAATACATTATATTACTCTCTTAAAATGCTAGAAAATGCTGGAGTCACGAGATGCTAATTTCAATATTAAATAAATGCTCTTAATTACTAAACAATTCCATGCTAATAATAATAATAATAATAATAATAATAATAATAATAATAATAATAATAATAATAATAATAATAATAATAATAATAATAATAATAATAATAATATTCATAATCATAAAACTAATACCGAGAAAAGTGTTGACAGGACACTGAAGTAACTCGAGACGAACTCTACTAAGATTTCCTCTACATTAATATTGTCTCATGGTACCATCTACCGAGGCCGATATCGGTATTGGTTGGACGCAGCAACGCCCAGGTACTGTGTACCCACAAACCTGACATTGGCTGTAACCGCTGGCTGGACCACTTAATCATCACCCTTTCTCAGGACAACTTATTGATTGACACTTGGAGAGTTGCACTTGTTTTGCTTGAAAATGATGCGTGTCGTGTCATTTTCTGACTAATTGGCTGAGCGGGACGAGAAGCGAGGTACAAGGTGCCGCTTACGACACGGGAGCTCAGTAGTGCATTGTGAGAGGACGGGGGAGCAGAGAGCTCAACAGAGAGCTCAACAGAGAGCTCAACAGAGAGCTCAGGGCTCTGATAAAATATTACAACTACCTTGCGACACTACGAAACCTCAGCAGGTATACCGTCATGAAAAACGGAATCACATGTATTTTAAGATACCAGATATATTTATGTAGATACCACTATGATAGTTGTAGTTACCACTATGATAGTAGTGTAGTCTACCAGCTATGGTAGTGTTAGTACCACTGTAGTAGTGTAGTACCACTATAATAGTGTAGTTACAGCATGATAGTAGTTTTAAGACTACCAGCTATGATAGTAGTGTTAGTTACCAGCTATGATAGTAGTGTTAGTTACCAGCTATGATAGTAGTGTTAGTTACCAGCTACGATAGTAGTGTTAGTTACCAGCTATGATAGTAGTGTTAGTTACCAGCTACGATAGTAGTGTTAGTTACCAGCTATGACACTGGTGTTAGTTACCAGCTAAGATAGTAGTGTTACTGTGTACAGTTTTGTGCAGTGTGGTGTTAGTGTCTGCACAGTATTACTTTGAGTACATCGTTAATGTGTGTGTATGTTAGTGTTCTCTCCTTAGTGCTTCCTCCCACCAATGGCTTCCTCAACTGTCTTACACGTTTTCAACTCCTATATAGACGAGATATAGAAGTGGAGAGGTAGACTTTGAGAGTAGAAGCCGAGTGGTGGGTAGATGAGGTCTGGGGAGTGAGGTAGAAGCAGACATGGAGGGAACGTAGGTGAGGAGTGGGAAGTAGGTGAGGAAGGGGAGGCAGGAGGAGGCATGGTAGGAGGTACTAGTGAGATCTCGTACACTGTCCTTGCCATCACAGTCTGAATGACTGCCTCACCTGAGTCGCAATACTCTCAGTTCTCCCTCTTTTTTTTCTGCCATCCTCCTTCATTATATCCCTCTCCCTCCCCCTTCTATCTTCCCGTAATTCCCTCTAGTTTATCTTTCACTAATATAGTTCGTAGGAATAACATTCATCATCACTAAAACTTATTTTACAAGCTGAGAGTTGTTATATAACCTCAGCTTATTTTAAAGCCAAGTCCTGGCTTTACTTTTGCTGTAGTGCTTTATTGTTTACCGTACATGTGGGGATAGAGGGAGTAGTAAGCTTGCATGAAGCCAGGAACTTGTTAAAGCAGGTGGGAGCAGACTTGTGAAAGCAGGGCATGGTAAGAGGACTTGTGAGATGCCGCCTTGCCATCACAGTCTAAGACGGCTCTAACCAGCGATATTCAAGCCGCTCGCTACCACCTTTAAACCCTGTCCCTCTGTCCCTTCTGCTCACTAAGCCTAATTATCTTGTCACTAATATAGCGTGATAAATTACCCTAACTTCAATAAGTGGTTTAATATCAATTTTTAAGAGTGCTTATTTGATGTATGGTTATTTAACTACATGGGAGTGGGGATATTAAACAGGTGGATCAAACCAGAGTTGTTCAAACACAGGTGTGGCATCACTAAACAGGTGTAACCAACAAAGGGATTGTAACCAGGAGTTGGTCACTCACAGGAGTGGCATTGCTGAACTAATAGCTAATTACTACCAATAATGGCGATCAATAATGCTATGCAGGATGGGATCATAACACAGGAGTGGGATGCTAACACAGGAGTGGGATCACTAACACAGGAGTGGGATCACTAACACAGGAGTGGGATCACTAACACAGGAGTGGGATCACTAACACAGAGTGGGATTACTAACACAGGAGTGGGATGCTAACACAGGAGTGGGATCACTAACACAGGAGTGGGATTCTAACACAGGAGTGGGATCACTAACACAGGAGTGGGATCACTAACACAGGAGTGGGATTGCTAACACAGGAGTGGGATCACTAACACAGGAGTGGGATTGCTAACACAGGAGTGGGATCACTAACACCGGAGTGGGATCACTAACACAAGAGTGGGATCACTAACACAGGAGTGGGATTGCTAACACAGGAGTGGGATCACTAACACAGGAGTGGGATTGCTAACACAGGAGTGGGATCACTAACACAGGATGGGGATCACTAACACAGGAGTGGAATTGCTAACACAGGAGTGGGATCACTAACACAGGAGTGGGATCACTAACACAGGAGTGGGATCACTAACACAGGAGTGGGATCGCTAACGCAGGAGTGGGATTGCTAACAAAGGAGTGGGATCACTAACACAGGAGTGGGATCACTAACACAGGAGTGGGATCACTAACACAGGAGTGGGATTGCTAACACAGGAGCGGGATCACTAACACAGGAGTGGGATTGCTAACACAGGAGTGGGATTGCTAACACAGGAGTGGGATCACTAACACAGGTGTGGGATCACTAACACAAGAGTGGGATCACTAACACAAGAGTGGGATCACTAACACAGGGAGTGGGATCACTAACACAGGGAGTGGGATCACTAACACAGGCAGTGGGATCACTAACACAGGGAGTGGGATCACTAACACAGGGAGTGGGATCACTAACACAGGGAGTGGGATCATTAACACAGGCAGTGGGATCACTAACACAGGAAGTAGGATTACTGACACAGGGAGTGGGATAACAGGGACGGAGTGTTCACACTATCCTCACAGAAGAATTGAGAACATGTCCTACATACTTATACACTCTTTCTGACTTTTTCCCATGCCAATGACCGATGTTTCTCACTCCTGCTGTGTGATGACGCCCATGACTTGACGCCCACCGTGACGCCCATGCTGTGCCCATGCCCACAATCTTCGTGGTTCAGGCGAAGATGTCGACCAGCAAAGAGAGGGTAATTTTACGATTTCGTCTGCCAAGCGACAAGGTAAGTATCTCTCATGTCAGTCAGGTCTCTTTCATGTCAGTCAGATCTCTCACATGTCAGTCAGATCTCTGTTCGAATGAGAAACCACAGTTTGTGTATGTGTGTGGGTTAATACAAGCTTGATATACGGTACAGCAGCAAATATCCACTGAAGTTCACTTGCTAGACCGCTGGGTTCTCTCCCTCACCCGGCGGGTGCGCCCCGGTACAGGACTTCATCAGGAAGCGATCCCTGGCCGAAGTTGGGGAGCTCATCTGCCAGGAGTCCACCGCTCACGGTATCGGTCACACCTGGAACAACCGCAAGAATCCACTCGGTGTCTTCTGGTTCCTAGCCACTACCTCCCTCTTCATCCTCCTCCTCGTCGTGGCATCCAGACTCATGAGGGACTTCATCCAGAGGGACATCCAGTCACAGGCGAGTCTTTCCACCAGTCCTAACTGTAGGTAACTGTCTTAGTCTCACAACTATCCCACTAGTTGCGGAAGCTCTTGTTCCTAGAATCACTAACTCGTTGTTCACCACCATCGCGACGGCTTCCATCGATGGAACGTCAACTCCATCATTCTTATTTCTTCTTATTATGGTTTTTCTTCCATGTTACTTCTCGCTACTAATATTATTATACAGAAAATAAAGATAAGGTTTGGTAGATAAGACACATAGGCAACAGTTAAGCAACTTTTTTTCCTAGACGTTTCGCCTACACAGTAGGCTTCTTCAGTCGAGTACAGAAAGTAGGCAGGAGCAGTAGAGATGTGAAGACGATGTAATCAGTCCACCCTTGAAGTCGTATATTTGAGGTTGTCAGTCCCTCAGCCTGGAGAAGAGTTCTGTTCCATAGTCTGAAACAATGTGAATATCAAGCGACAGTGTGGAGACATATACTTATATACTGAGAGGGACGTGACCTCTCAGTGGCTACATTCTCTCTACTACTACTCTGCACCTTTCCTTCCGACAGTACGTAAGTCTCCACACTCGCTTAATCATTAGATTGCTTCAGAATATGGAACAGAACTCTTCTCCAGGCTGAGGGACTGACAACCTCAAATCTACGACTTCAAGAATGATGGACTGATTACATAATCTTCACATCTCTACTGTTCCTGCCTACTTCTGTACTCGACTGAAGAAGCCTACTGTGTAGGCGAAACGTTTCGGAATAAAGTTGCTTAACCGTTGCCTATGTGTCTTACCAACCTGTCGGTAATGTATACCATTTTGATGTTCACAAAGATCAGGTTTATTTCATAGCAAATTTCGTCTTTTCAGAGACGTCTGAGATGCTTCTCACACATTTGAAATGTCAACTACCTGCTCATTTTTTTGTTTATATAGTTTACTATCATCTCCTATTTCACTGTCATCTCCACTACCATCTCCACCTTCACTGTCATGTCCACTATCGTCTCCTCCTTCACTATCATCTCCATTATCGTCTCCACCTTCACTATCATCCCCACTTTTATCTCTGCCTTCACTATCATCTCCACTGTCATCTCCTCCTTCACTGTCATCTCCACTGTCATCTCCTACTTCACTGTCATCTCCCTTACTACCCCTCATCATCACTTTCTCCCTCACCCAGACGACAGTGAAGATGATCAAGGGAGGAGAACTGCAGCTTCCCTCGGTCGTGCTGTGCAACAGACACCTCTTCTCAAGGTGGAAGCTCCAAGGTAATCATCTCAACCGTACTGTTCGTATTCACACCCGAAGCTCTAAATCCGTAGGGAAAGGGTTGGAGTGGGTTTCATAATGCACCTGCAGAGTGGCTTAAATGGGATTAGATCCTTGCGGAGAGCGTCTCTAGTTCCATGGATAGAGAGCACTTCGTTAATATTGAAACAGAAGCACTAGGGGAGTGTTATTGTTGTGTGCAGCATAGAGGGCAGCAGTCTGTAGTGTGCTGCTGTGCTATCCTGCACTACTCTGCTATCCTGCACTACTCTGCTATCCTGCACTACTCTGCTATCCTGCACTACTATGCTATCCTGCACTACTCTGCTATCCTGCACTACTCTGCTATCCTGCACTACTCTGCTATCCTGCACTACTCTGCTATCCTGCACTACTCTGCTATCCTGCACTATTATGCTATCTTGTACTACTCTGCTATCCTGCACTACTCTGCCTATCCTGCACTACTCTGCTATCCTGTATTACTCTGCTATCCTGCACTACTCTGCTATCCTGCACTACTCTGCTATCCTGCACTACTCTATCCTGCACTATCTGCTATCTTGTACTACTCTGCTATCCTGCACTACTCTGCTATCCTGCACTACTCTGCTATCCTGCACTACTCTGCTATCTTGCACTACTCTGCTATCTTGTACTACTCTGCTATCCTGCACTACTCTGCACTATCCTGCACTACTCTGCTATCCTGCACTACTCTGCTGTTCCTGCACTACTACCTACTCTGCTATCCTGCACTACTTTGCTATCCTGCACTATCTGCTATCCTGCACTACTCTGCTAGCCTGCACTACTCTGCTATCCTGCACTACTCTGCTATCCTGCACTACTCTGCTATCTTGTACTACTCTGCTATCCTGCACTACTCTGCTATCCTGCACTACTCTGCTATCCTGTACTACTCTGCTATCCTGCACTACTCTGCCATCCTGCACTGCTCTGCTACCCTTCACTACTCTGTTATCTTGTACTACTCTGCTATCCTGCACTACTCTGCTATCCTGCACTACTCTGCTATCCTTCACTACTCTGCTATCTTGTACTACTCTGCTATCCTGCACTACTCTGCTATCCTTCACTACTCTGCTATCCTGCACTACTGTGCTATCCTGCACTACTCTGCTACCTTGTACTACTCTGCTATCCTGCACTACTCTGCTATCCTGCACTACTCTGCTATCCTGCACTACTCTGCTATCCTGCACTACTCTGCTATCCTTCACTACTCTGCTATCTTGTACTACTCTGCAATCCTGCACTACTCTGCTATCCTTCACTACTCTGCTATCCTGCACTACTCTGCTATCCTGCACTACTCTGCTATCCTGCACTACTCTGCTATCCTGCACTACTCTGCTATCCTACACTACTCTGCTATCCTGTACTACTCTCCTATCCTGCACTACTCTGCCATCCTGCACTACTCTGCTATCCTGCACTACTCTGCTATCCTGCACTACTCTGCTATCCTGCACTACTCTGCTAGCCTGCATTACTCTGCTATCCTGTACTAGTCTGCTATCCTGCACTACTCGTGCTATCATGTGCTAGTCTGCTATCCTACACTACTCATGCTATCCTGCACTAGTTTTCTATCCTGCGCTACTCTACTATCCTGCACTACTCATGCTATCCTGTACTAGTCTCCTATCCTACACTACTCATGCTATCCTGCACTAGTCTTCTATCCTGCACTACTCTGCTATCCTGCACTACTCTTGCTATCCTGCACTACTCTGCTAACCTGTACTAGCCTGCTATCCTGCCCTACTCTGCTATTCTGCACTACTCTGCTATCCTGCACTACTCTGTGATCCTGCACTAATCTGCTATCCTGCACTACTCTGTGAATCTCCACTACTCTGCTATCCTGCACTACTCTGCTATCCTGCACTACTCTGCTATCCTGCACTACTCTGCTATGCTGCACTACTCTGCTATCCTGCACTACTCGTGCTATCCTATACTACTCATGCTATCCTGCACTAGTCATGCTATCCTGCACTACTCTGTGATCCTGCGCTACTCTGCTATCCTGCACTACTCTGTGAATCTGCACTACTCTGCTATCCTGCACTACTCTGCTATGCTGCACTAGTCTGCTATCCTGCACTACTCTGCTATCCTGCACTACTCTGCTATCCTGCACTACTCTGCTAGCCTGCACTACTCATGCTATCCTCTACTAGTCTGCTATCCTGCACTACTCATGCTATCCTGTACTAGTCTGCTATCCTACACTACTATGCTATCCTGCACTACTCATGCTATCCTGCACTAGTCTTCTATCCTGCACTACTCTGCTATCCTGCACTACTCATGCTATCCTGTGCTAGTCTGCTATCCTGCACTATTCATGCTCTTCTGCACTACTCTTGCATATCCTGCACTACTCTGCTAACCTGTACTAGCCTGCTATCCTGCCCTACTCTGTTATTCTGCACTACTCTGCTATCCTGACTAGCCTGCTGAGCACCTGTTCTGACTACTCTGCTATCCTGCACTACTCTGTGATCCTGCGCTACTCTGCTATCCTGCACTACTCTGTGAATCTGCACTACTCTGCTATCCTGCACTACTCTGCTATGCTGCACTAGTCTGCTATCCTGCACTACTCGTGCTATCCTATACTAGTCATGCTATCCTGCACTAGTCTGCATGCACTACTCGTGCTACCTACAGTAGTCATGCTATCCTGCACTAATCATGCTATCCTGCACTAGTCATGCTATCCTGCACTACTCTACAGTACTGACGAAACAGCGTCATCGTTTGTTTCAGAGTCCCTTTCAGAATAGGATTTCTATCCATGTTAGGTGATCAGTCGCTTCTTCCATCACAGGTAAGACCAAGGTACTGAACGCTGTCTGTAAAGGCTATGGGACTGAACATCTCAAAGTTACCACTCCGCCTCTTTCCAGTATTAAAGTCACCCTTGTCTTCGACTGAAGAAGCCTGCTGAGCAGGCGAAAGGTTTCGTCAGTGAAGGTGCTCAAGAGTGGCGTGTGTGTCTTATTTAACAACTTCTAAGTATTGTGTATCATGAATAATTTGAGATATTGATGTAACGACTCTCATTGTTCTGGTACTGTCGCTGTTCAGGTACTGAAGTTATGATTGTCTTTGTTCAGGTACTCAAGTTATGACTGTCGTTGTTCATGTACTGAAGTTATGACTTTCACTGTACAGTTATTAATGTTATGGTTGGCAAATTACACCCCCCTCCCCCCCGACAGTATATTTCTGGCACAAATAATAACTCTGCTAACTACCTTATTTTCATTTAATCTCACAGCTCGTTAATGAGGCGCTTTAACCCTCAATGATCATTTTCTGCGCTAATGTTCCTTGTTTGCTTTCATAATTCATTTTGTATATATTTGCATGCGTTTAACAACGTTAACATATATTTTTTTTAATATAGTCAAGCGTAGTGTATGATTTTAAAACAATGGAGGTGCTCCGATTCTTTGGATCAAGAGCCCTTCACCCGTATGAAGGCACCTTCCCCTACGTCACCCTTGACGTGTGCTAACCTAGATTGTCTGACAAGAATATTAATCTATTCACAGAAAGGGTTGAGTTCGAATCCATGACAAGCGAGTCCTGAAACTAAATCTTATCCACATGTTGTTGTTGTTGTGGTTTATAGGGCCAGTGACAGCGTACGCCGTATCGAGCCCTTATGCACATACTGCAATGGCTGTTATTTATTTCTTCCTTCATATTTACATTTTCTTCCTCGAAATAATTTATTATTTATTGCCTCTCCTATGGAAGACAGCAGCAATGGTTTTAAGTTGGAAAAAATCAGATTCAGGAAAGATATAGGAAAGCACTGGTTTGGTAATAGAGTTGTGGATGAGTGGAACAAACTCCCGAGTACCGTTATAGAAGCTAAGACGTTGTGTAGTTCTAAAAATAGGTTGGACAAATACGTGAGTGGGTGTGGGAGGGTGTGAGTTGGACCTGACTAGCTTGTGCTACTAGGTCGGATGCCGTGCTCCTCCCTTAAGTGACGTAATTGACCTGACTAGGGCAAGGCAATTGCTGAAGCCGGTGGGAGAATTGGACCTGCCGCGCATAGGCCAATAGGCCTGTTGCAGTGTTTCTTCTTTCTTATGTTCTTGTGTTCTAATCCACTATTATAGATCGTCATATTCTAGTACTGCAGAGCCTGTCACTACTCTTCTACTTATCTATGCCTCTGTTCACCTGGTAGTAAGTAGGTATCCGAATGTCAGTCGATTGTTTTTGGTTAGCATCCCGGGGAAATCAGCCACACTACTTTCTTGCGTTATTCTGGCTCAACAGTCAAATAAGACGCAGGTGCAACACTGCGGTATATTCATTCCTGAAACGTTTCGCCTACGCAGTAGGCTTCTTCAATGAATGAAGATAGCAGAGTGTTGCACATGTATCTTGTCACTAGCTTGTTGGTATTGCTACCTCTTATTATAATGATTATTAATATAATTATGAAATTGGTACACAATACAGACCAGTAAAAGACACGTGCAACGGTTGAGAATCTTTACTGTTGACACATATCGCCTACACGGTAGACTTCTCCAGTCAAATACAGAGCATAAATTGTTAGGCAAAAGGACACAAGCGCAACTAATGTGACATTTTATTGTGGGCCTTGTGGCAACGTTTCGCTCTCCAGGAGCTTTATCAACCCGTTACCAGCATTAATACCAACATTAATACAAGAGTATAAATTGGAGGCAGCGGGATTAGTTGCGAGGTAAAGATGATGTAATCAATCCATCACCCTTGAAGACGTAGTTTTGAGGTGGTCAGTCCCTCAGCCTGGAGAAGAGTTCAGCTCCATGGCCTGGCGAGATGTTTTAACGTTAAAAACACCCCAACCCAATGATTATTGATCAAAAATAGACTTCTTCACTATCTCAGATTTTTCTTTTCATTATTAACGTCACGTGGTGTGTTGTGTGTTGAGCAGCCCTTAACATCACCCCTGAGGTCACTAACTACTTGATCGCCATCACTGGTTCTGCCTTCCTCCTACGTCAAGACTTCCTCTTCACCGCTGCTGGACGTCAGTTCCTCACTGACTCACACAGTCAACTCCTCTCCATCATGAGTACTCACAACTTGACCCACAGCCAACTCATTGATGCCATCTCTTACAGGTAAGTAAAATGCAAAGGCATTAGTGTACACAGGATATACGTAGTTATTCTATATGCGGCCTGGCCCATGATCAGGCCTCGCGGTGGATCAGGGCCTGCTAACCGCACGCAAATCGACGTACGAACCACAACCCAGCCGGTCAGGTACTGACTTTAGGTGTCTGTCCAGCTCCCTCATGAAAACAGCCAGGGGTATATTTGTAAATCCCTTACGTATACTGAGAGGCAACTGAACAATCATGGGCCCCTGACACTTATTGTGTTGTCTCTTAGCGTATTCATGGCGCCTCTGTTTTTCATTGGGGGGGGGGGGTTGCATCGCCTGCCGAGTCTTTTCCTTTCGTAGGGAGTGATTTATATGTGCAGATTTTGAACTAGTCTCTCCAGGCTTTTCAAAGTGTATATTATAATGTATCTTCCCCTCCTGCGTTCCAAGGAGTAGAGGTCAAGGGACTTCAACCGTTCTCGGTAATTTTGGTGCTTTATTGTACTTGTATATGCAGTGAAAGTTCTCTGTATATTCTCCAGGTCTGCAATTTCACCTGCCTTGAAAGGGACCGTTATTATACAGCAATACTCCAGCCTAGAGTGAACAAGCAATTTGAAGAGAATCACCATTGGCTTGGCATCTCTAGTTTTGAAGGTTATCATTATCCATCCTATCATTTTCCTAGCAGATGTGGTAGAGACATTGTTTGATCTTTGAAAAGTGAGATTCTCAGACATTATCACTCCTAGATCCTTCACATTAGATTTTCACTTTAACCCCTTCCCCCATTGACCAACCAGTTTTCCAGATTTAAGTGGCATATCCTCCTCCTCCCGTCCAGGTGTGAGGAGCTGGTGCTACGGTGTGGCGTGGGCACCATCAAGATGGACACGGAGGAGTGTTGCATGGGCTTCGTGGTCACCCCCACCATGGCTGGCAAGTGCTACACTTACTTTGCCGCTGCCAACCACACCCAGGCAATGGAGGGGGAGTACCTGGGTGTCTCTCTCTATATCAACGTCACCCAGGACGATCATCCAGGTGGGCGCTATTACACTGATCACGGTTAGAAAGAAAGGGGTGGACGGGTAAGCCAGCGGAAGGCCTCTGTCAGATGACCAAAAGCTCCAGTGGCGGGTCATCATATGGCTAAGACCCGCATCAGGAAACATGTTTCCTGATAAACCTTACCTAACCTAACCTAATCACGGAACGGGTGGGGCTTGAACCCATGGTAAATCCGTTCTGTGATTTGTTTGCAATCGTGTTAAGATGAGCTCCAGCTCCGTAAGTTATTACACTCACGGGGGAGGAGGTCATACAGCGGCAGTGTGACTTTGTAAATGGTCCCAGTCGGACTGAATCATCATCGTCAGCTTTTCTCTCCTGTGTGAAGGTTATTTGTGTAAGGAGGTAATCAGGTTCCAAGGAAGGGAGGCCAGGTCCAATTTTTTGTATCAAGAGCCACTCGCTATCATCATGGAACCTCCCACGAAGTGCCCCGTAGCTAGGTTTTTACTGCACTCATCTTACACACTGGCTCGATCCCTGGTACGGGTGGGAACATTAGGACGTGTTTCCTTAAGACACCTGCTGTCCCTGTTCACCTAGCAATAAATAGGTACCGTGATGCTAGCCGACTGGTGTGGGTCGCATCCTGGGAAAAAAATTAACCTAATTTGCCCGGAATGGGCACTGATGTCAGGTACGTCTGTTTACGTTGTACATGTACTCGTAGAAATAGAGATTATTATTACATAAGAGTTTTAGCTATCACATGCATATCCTGGAAAGATCTTGTTTAATGCAAAATACAGGAACTGTACATGCAGTGTTCATTCTGAGTCACCATGACCGTGCCATACTTTCACCATGACCGTGCCATACTTTCACCATGACCGTGCCATACTTTCACCATGACCGCGCCATACTTTCACCATGACCGTGCCATACTTTCACCATGACCGTGGCATACTTTCACCATGACCGTGCCATACGGTCACCATGACCGTGCCATACTTTCACCATGACCGTGCCATACTTTCACCATGACCGTGGCATACTTTCACCATGACCGTGCCATACGGTCACCATGACCTTGCCATACTTTCACCATGACCGTGCCATACTTTCACCATGACCGTTCCATACTTTCACCATGACCGTGCCATACTTTCACCATGACCTTGCCATACTTTCACCATGACCGTGCCATACTTTCACCATGACCGTGGCATACTTTCACCATGACCGTGCCATACGGTCACCATGACCGTGCCATACTTTCACCATGACCGTGCCATACTTTCACCATGACCGTGCCATACTTTCACCATGACCGTTCCATACTTTCACCATGACCGTGCCATACTTTCACCATGACCGTGCCATACTTTCACCATGACCGTGCCATACTTTCACCATGACCGTGCCATACTTTCACCATGACCGTGGCATACTTTTCCCCCATGACCGTTTCCATACGGTTCACCATGACCGTGCCATACTTTCACCATGACCGTGCCATACTTTCACCATGACCGTTTGCATACTTTCACCATGACGTGCCATACGGTCACCATGACCTTGCCATACTTTCACCATGACCGTGCCATACTTTCACCATGACCTTGCATATTTACCATGACCTTTCACCATGACCGTGGCCCTACTTTCACCCTGACCGTGCCATACTTTCACCATGACCGTGCCATACTTTCACCATGACCCTGCCATACTTTCACCATGACCGTGCCATACTTTCACCATGACCGTGCCATACTTTCACCATGGGACACGCTGCCCTACTTCCACCATGACCTGGCATACTTTCACCATGACCGTTCCATACTTTCACCATGACCGTGCCATACTTTCACCATGACCGTGCCATACTTTCACCATGACCGTGCCATACTTTCACCATGACCGTGCCATACTTTCACCATGACCGTGCCATACTTTCACCATGACCGTGCCATACTTTCACCATGACCGTGCCATACTTTCACCATGACCGTGCCATACTTTCACCATGACCGTTCCATACTTTCACCATGACCGTGGCATACTTTCACCATGACCGTGCCATACTTTCACCATGACCGTGCCATACTTTCACCATGACCGTTCCATACTTTCACCATGACCGTGGCATACTTTCACCATGACCGTGCCATACGGTCACCATGACCGTGCCATACTTTCACCATGACCGTTCCATACTTTCACCATGACCGTGGCATACTTTCACCATGACCGTGCCATATGGTCACCATGACCGTTCCATACGGTGTAGGCTGGCCAGACGTCCTGCTTTTGAGCACTCTGTTCCCCGTCCTGCGTCACCTCAAGCAGGACGTTAATTTGTCCTTTGGGGGGGACCTGTCTAAAAAGTATTATATAACTTACCTCACGTATACTAAAATAGCGGAACCGAAAGACCACAATAAGCAAAGACGTGTTTTTATAATTTTATGTAGTTGCCGTTGGCAACACTATTATTATTATTATTATTATTATTATTGCTATTATTATTAATATTATTATTATTATTATTATTATTATTATTATTTATTATTATATTATTATTGCTATTATTATTATTATTATTATTATTATTATTATTATTATATTATTATTATTATTATTGTTGTTGTTATTATTGCTATTATTTTTTATTATTATTATTATTATTATTATTATTATTATTATTATTATTATTATTGTTATTATTATTATTATTATTATTATTATTATTATTATTATTATTATTATTATTATTATTGTTGTTATTATTGCTATTATTATTATTATTATTATTATTATTATTATTATTATTATTATTATTATTATTATTATTATTATGCTATTATTTTATTATTTATTATTATTATTATTATTATTATTTTATTATTATTTTTATTATTATTATTATTATTTATATTATATTATTAAAGCCAAGGTTAAACCCACTAGGTGTCATACAGCGTTGGCAACACTAGTCGTACCGAAATTCACTACAAAAATGCACTGATTAATAGAGCATTACTGTGATCAACAGAGATAAACCCAGAGATTCTGGACGTGTCACAGATGGTGAAGACGGGACTCCAGATGACTCTAGTGAGCAACCACACACACCCAGCCTTTGTAGCAGTGGGTCAAGGTGTTCCGCTCCTCCCCGGTGTCTACACGGCAGTCGACGTCTCTCTTACTGTGGTCAGCCTCACATTCTGTTCAGTTTTTTTTTTTTTTCATACCATGTGGTGATTTCCTATATGTAACAGGTAGCAGAGATGGCCTTCAGGGAGACTTGGACACATTGGAGTGCAGAGGCAGTCAAACAAGTGACTGGTGGAGTTCAATCCAAATATGTGAAAGCTCGTGGAATTTGGAGGAGAGAAATCCCAAACAAGAGACAGTCAAAGAAACGGATTTCGAAATGAGTATTACAGTGAACATATCACGAGGACACAATAATCATATCACGAGGACACAATAATCATATCACGAGGACACAATAATCATATCACTTCAACACCAGTTTTAGGACTGTAATATAATATTCAAGAGAGAGAGCCAAACCTGGGGTTCTGAGAGGTAACTGTATTTGATCCAAGGGAAAGATAACTCCAATTCCCTGAATCAAGAGCTCTTCACTAGCATTGAGACATCTCTGAAGGACAGTTATGTAGTACAGAATTTAAGTTGCTGTTAGATAATAAGACACTAATATTATTGTTATATTTACTGGAAACATCTAGACTCGTCATGCAGTGCCACACTCCTCTATTGTCGTAGTTACTGATTGAATCACAGCATTGTATGACCCTTGTGGGTTTAGCATTATTCATGATTATAATTATAGTCATAATGATAATTGAATTTGAAAAGAGAATTTTCAGTATTACTAGTACCAGTTCTTTATATCTAAGCGCCCCATACATTTTCAAGCAACCAATACAAATCATCAAATTTACCTATGTACAGTAACTGTGATGTTCAATACAGTATATACTATCACTGATTCCAGGTGCGGGACGTGGGCATCAAGACAGTGTTTGACTGGTCAGAGACTGAGTGTATACCACTAGAGAAAGTTAACTACAGATTGGACACTGAAAATTTCCTCAATACTGAACCAAACTGTGATGTTGGGGCTTCACGACTGTGCTTTAAGCATATCTGCAACTGTAGTACCTATGGACTGGATAACTCAGTGGGTGGGTTGCAGACCTGCAAAGGTTTTGCTTTCATAGTTGTTTATTAAAATTGTAAGACTATTAAACATGAGTAAAGGATTTTAGGTCTACACTTGCTTATTGTTCAATAAATGAAAATGTGAGAGACAGAGTTGTACGACCCTGGTAGTACTTACACGGTGTCCCGTAGCTGGATCCCTAGCGCATTCAGCTCCCACACTGAGGTCCAGAGTTCCAATCTCCGGTACAGCTGGAAAACAATAGGGACGTGTATCCATAGGACACCTGTTGTCTCTGTTCACCCATCAGGGAAATGGGTACCTGGGTGTTAGTTGACTGGTGTGGGTCGCATCCTGGGACAAAACTGACCTAATTTGCCCGAAATGCTCAGCATAACAAGCGGTTTTCTTTATAGTAGTGTGTCATTGATGTCAGCTAAACCTGTATACCTTGTAAATGTACTTGTAGTATATAAAGATGTTATATTATTATTAATATTATTATTATTACATTATTATATATGTGGGTGAGGAAACGCTAAACGTTTAGGGGATCATTCAACAACTGGGGAAATAAGAGGCACTTCAAGGAAGGGTAAGTCAGGTATATTTACTTGGATAGTCTCTTAGCAGCATCAAGAGGTCTCCTTTGAGGGTATGTTTTATAAGTGCGTAACTAAACTCATTACGTGATCAATGACTTGTTATTGCTGTCTAGTTCAAGAAAACCTGGTTAATTACACACAGGAGGTGATATCATTGGCATTATCTAATTTTTTATTGGTATGATTAGGTATTTATGTAGACAGAAACGATCTTCATGATAACATGAATTCATAGTTCATCATAAATAAATAAAAGACAATATGAGCTGTACATACAAGGCAAAATCTGGACGATAATGTAGGAATAAAAATAGATTGTATTAATATTGGTAAAATTACCGACAATATGTTAAGTAAAAGGACACAATGGCAACTGATGTGACATTGTATTATGGCAAACGTTTCGCTCTCCAGGACATTTGTCAAGCCGTTACAAACAATACTTGGACACAGAGGGTATATATAGGCTTAGGGTGATGTGTAGTACTAGTGGAGGTAGTAGTAGCAGTGATACTAGTGGAGGTAGTGGTAGTAGTGATACTACTGTAGTACTAGTGGAGGCAGTAGTAGCAGTGATACTAGTGGAGGTAGTGGTTGTAGTTTTACATGTGGGGGAAAGTCAGTATCACTACTACAACTACCTCCACTAGTACTACAGTAGTATCACTGCTACTACCTCCACTAGTACTACAGTAGTATCACTGCTACTACCTCCATTAGTACTACAGTAATATCACTGCTACTACCTTCACTAGTACTATAGTAGTATCACTGCTACTACCTCCACTAGTACTACAGTAGTATCACTGCTACTACCTCCACTAGTACTACAGTAGTATCACTGCTACTACCTTCACTAGTACTACAGTAGTATCACTGCTACTACCTCCACTAGTACTACAGTAGTATCACTGCTACTACCTTCACTAGTACTATAGTAGTATCACTGCTACTACCTCCACTAGTACTACATTAGTATCACTGCTACTACCTCCACTAGTACTACAGTAGTATCACTGCTACTGCCTTCACTAGTACTACAGTAGTATCACTGCTACTACCTCCACTAGTACTACAGTAGTATCACTGCTACTACCTCCACTAGTACTACAGTAGTATCACTGCTACTACCTTCACTAGTACTACAGTAGTATCACTTCTACTACCTTCACTAGTACTACAGTAGTATCACTGCTACTACCTCCACTAGTACTACAGTAGTATCACTGCTACTACCTTCACTAGTACTACAGTAGTATCACTGCTACTACTACCTCCACTAGTACTACACATCACCCTAAGCCTATATATACCCTCTGTGTCCAACTATTGTTTGTAACGGCTTTACAAAGCTCCTGGAGAGTGAAACGTTGCTACAAGGTGGCAGCAAAGCATTAGCTAAGAACTATAGACCAATAGCTCTGACGTCCCACATCATAAAAATCTTTGAAAGAGTGCTAAGGAGCAGGATTGCAAATCACCTGGATTCCCAAAATCTGCACAATCCAGGGCAACATGGGTTCAGGGCAGGTCGCTTCTGCCTCTCACAATTACTGGATCACTATGATATGGCCTTGGATGCACTGGAAGAAAATCAGAATGCAGATGTAATATACACAGACTTTGCAAAAGCATTTGACAAATGCGATCATGGCGTAATAGCCCATAAAATACGTGCTAAAGGAGTAACTGGGAAAGTGGGGAGATGGATCTTCAACTTCCTAACAAATCGAACACAAAGAGTAGTGGTCAACAGAGTTAAATCGGAGGCTGCCATAGTGAAGAGCTCTGTTCCACAAGGCACAGTACTCGCCCCCATCTTATTCCTTATCCTCATATCAGACATAGAGATATACATCACAGTACCGTATCATCCTTTGCGGATGATACTAGGATCTGCATGAGGCTGTCATCTGCTGAGGACGCGGTTAACCTCCAAGAAGATATAAACAAAGTTTTCTAGTGGGCAACGGTAAACAATATGATGTTCAATGAGGACAAATTCCAACTACTCCGTTATGGAAAACTGGAGGAGATAATAACTAGAACAGAGTATACTACTGACTCGGGCCATACAATAGAGCGGAAAAATAATGTAAGGGACCTGGGAGTAGTAATGTCTGAGGATCTCACTTTCAAGGATCACAACAGTGCCACGATCGCACGTGCAAAGAAAATGATAGGATGGATAATGAGAACGTTCCAAACGAGAGATGCCAAGCCAGTGATGATCCTTTTCAAATCACTTGTTCTCTCTAGGCTGGAATACTGCTGTACATTAACATCTCCATTCAAAGCAGGTGAAATCGCAGATCTAGAGAGTGTACAGAGATCCTTTACTGCACGTATAAGTTCTGTCAAGCACCTTAACTACTGGGAACGCTTGGAAGCACTTGACTTGTACTCGTTGGAACGCAGGAGGGAGAGATATATCATAATCTACACTTGGAAAATCTTGGAAGGAATGGTCCCAAATCTGCACACAGAAATCACTCCCTACGAAAGTAAAAGACTGGGCAGGCGATGCAAAATGACCCCAATAAAAAGTAGGGGCGCCATTGGTACACTAAGAGAAAACACCATAAGTGTCCGGGGCCCAAAACTGTTCAACAGCCTCCCATCAAGCATTAGGGGAATTGCCAATAAACCCCTGGCTGCCTTCAAGAGAGAGCTGGACACTTACCTAAAGTCAGTGCCGGATCAGCCAGGCTGTGGCTCGTACGTTGGACTGCGTGCGGCCAGCAGTAACAGCCTAGTTGATCAGGCCCTGATCCATCGGGAGGCCTGGTCATGGACCAGGCCGCGGGGGCGTTGATCCCCGGAATAACCTCCAGGTAACCTCCAGGTATCCGGGTAACAATAAAATGTCACATTAGTTGCACTTGTGTCCTTTTACTTAACATAAAAATAGATATTGTATAAAGAAACATGGAATATAAATTTAGTGGGCACATTATGAGTAAGAACAATAGCACAAGTATAAACGGTAAAGTACAATATAGCATTGTAAGAGAGTTTTTTATGAGTGGTTTAGTACCTGTGGTAAAAACTTCTGCTATATTAAACGTACAGTAAACTTATAAGATATTAACAACTAAGACATTATAACTCTTGGCAGATAGCTGGAATCCATGCTCACTGAATATAAATTTCCAGTGCTTTAGCATAATGCTTAATGCCATGAATGTCACTCCTCCACATAATGCCTACAGCACCAGTATTCAAGAGGACAGTCAGCTGAACTTTACTCTGGCAGACCAATGCTGGAACGAAGGTCGGTAGTAACCAAAAACAAAAACGAACACCATCTACACAATGTTTATAAATATATATATATATAATATATATATATATATATATATATATATACATATATATATATATTATATATATATATATATATATATATATATATATATATATATATATATATATATACTTCTTAAAACTTCCCAGAAATTCATGAGTAATTAATTATATAAAAATTTCTCACTGTCAGATATATTTTGCAAACATTATCTTTAAACTGTTTTTCATTTTAACCCTTAAAAAAAAAATAACCCTTAACACTATATCATTTGGATAATATACACTGAGGTTGCATATACAGTATTATGTCTATATAGATGCCTTGTGATCTTAATAATTACTGTACAAATTATTTTGAGTAATAATTCGTACAGGAAAACCTTGAGATTCAGATACGGTATTTCTATTGTGTAAACAGCGAAGAACGGATGTCGGCGTCCATGTTCCCGTTATGACTACATGTATACCAGTACCCACCTGCCCATCCAGACTTACCTTTACCAGGACCTGCGTAACCAGTTCTCCCTCCAAAATGGGTAAAATGAATTTTCAAGTTTATTAGTTCTAAGTTTGCCCGAAATGCTGAGTATACTAAGGGGCTTTCTGCATGCACACCTAAATGTCATCCATCTCTGTACTAAATGCATGTAGGGTTATAAAGTGCCTGTTAACGGGTGGCAGCCATCTTTGAGTCAAGGATGGGAAGAGTAGCTCTAATTCCTTAAAATAAGTGCCCTTTATTGGCATATTAAAAATACAATATAAATATAATCTATGAGAAATAGTATACACACAAATACATACGAGGTCCGGCACACACAAAAAAACGAGACTGTCTTTAACTCTTTTTATTTAACATAGTCTATATGACCCTAGTAGGTTCAGCGCATCTTATTTATTATAACAATAATATTTCGCAAATTAAAGAAATCAATTACAATCACCGTCAAGTTGACACAGCTGCATACGATTCTACCGACGTTCAAAGTAATTCCGCAGATCATTTTCTGCAATGCTGTTGAGGATCTCCGTCGTTTTTGCTTTCACATCTACCGACAAAAAATGGGTTCCTTTGAGCACCAACTTGATCTATGGATAGAGGTAGAAGTCGCAGGGAGCCAAGTCGGGCGAATAGGGCGAGGGCTCAAGCACAGAGATGTTTTTATTAGCCAGAAGCTGCTTCACAGACAAAGCGTTGTGGGCTGGCGCATTGTCTTGGTGCAAAATCCACCCATTTCTCCACAATTCTGGTAGTTTCCTTCTCACGCATTCGCGCTGTGGGAAATTACCTGGATGAGGCTTACAGGGTATTACCTGAATTATTACGTGCAAGTAATCTGGGCAAGGTAAGTGCGACTTCGCTTTAGTAGGTCAAAGAACTGTCACTCCCTCAATGCCCACTACATCACCACTCACAAAAAGCTAGACCTAATATTAAATTAATAATTACAATATTAAGCATTAATACCAATAATGGTAAATTACAAAATAATGTGGACTATATATGATTTGGCTTACTGGGTACAATTTAATTATTGTACATAAATTATAATGGTGTTATTAGAAAAGAAATTCATATTACTACTTACCATTTGATTACTGTAGATGGATCACACCACAATGCCTGCCTAAGATAAGATAAGATAAGATTTCGTTCGGATTTTTAATCCCCGGAGGGTTAGCCACCCAGGATAACCCAAGAAAGTCAGTGCGTCATCGAGGACTGTCTAACTTATTTCCATTGGGGTCCTTAATCTTGTCCCCCAGGATGCGACCCACACCAGTCGACTAACACCCAGGTACCTATTTGCTGCTAGGTGAACAGGACAATAGGTGTAAGGAAACGTGTCGAAATGTTTCCACCCGCCGGGAATCGAACCCGGGCCCTCCGTGTGTGAAGCGGGAGCTTTAGCCACCAGGCCACCGGGCCACCCAAACATATAGAATCCTACACTGGCCAGCGAGAAATCTAAATGAAAGGACTAATAGTGCACTTCCCCATGTGAGTAATGACGTAGTTTTCTTATCTTCTCTCATCCACACGTAATTCTGGAGGTCTCACAAATTTCCTGCCCCAATTCTTCAACAGGGGACATTAATATGAGCTCCTATTATAAAATTCAGGCCAAAACACCCTAATTTGGCCTCGGTGACGCCGGATTATTAGCTGAATTTTCCACGACAACCAATGCTTGCAAATTACAAATGGTGTCTCCCCCCCCCCCCATGTATTACTCCGCGACCGCTGCACACCCTCCAAGCAAAATTTCTCGAAGGGTCAAATCAGCATCATTTAAATACACAATTATTATATTATTCAAGTTTACATATGCTGAATTTGGGAAACTTCAAAAATTTCCATACGCACAGTTTCATCAAGACTTGTCTAATACTGTAGATTTACCATGTGACAGCTGGGAACCCGCTCTGTCATCATAATACCCTGGATATCGAAGAAAACATTCAACATGGCCTTGAACTTCGAACGCCCAGGCTGCATGGGTAGCCTGGGCGATTATTAACTTTCACGTTTCCTCAGCCTTCAGAAAATCGTTTGTGCCATTCAAAAACGCCTGCACGAGACATGCACTCTTCACCGTAAGCCTCAGTCAATAACTGAAAAGTTTCCGCTGCGGATTTCTTCAGTTTCACAAGAAACTTTATTTGAACGTGCGTCCACTCGTACTGAGAGAAGTGATCGAACTGAGCCGTGTCTCACCGTGACAGCTTAGAACATGTTCTAGAATCATCTCTGTCTCTCCTCTCGTGGTTCCCGAGCTATAGGGTTAGTCCCTTGTTTGTGTTGGACCTCGTGTAAATAAAAATAGATCCAAGGAAAATTTCAGTGATACTTATGTTTAAAAATAAAATCAGTTCACTAGGAAAAAAGATTAAAATATCACAAGAAAAATTAAACTCTAGGCACCTCTTTAAATTAGTATTACTGTTATAAGGAAAAAACATGGCTAGATATGTGGGTTTTTAGAGTGTTAACCCCACTGAAGAGTTTTTGAGGTTGACGCTACTAGACTATATATTTTTTCTTATCACTATTGTGTATTACAAGATATGAAGGTTTTGAGGATGGTTTTACCTTGCCATATCTGAAAAAAATATACTATTGTATATGCATCGGCAATAAAACGAGGGTGACAGACCCAACAAATTAATGCATTGGATGTAATCTTAGGAACAGAGGCAAGATACCTTTTTCATAATCTAATTAATGATGAAAATGTATTTATGGATCATACAGTTCTGCAGTGTAGTGAAGTGAGGGTAGGGAGTTGAGGGTTAGTGCACGTGTCAGATTGAAGTCAAAATTGATGCAATACTTTCAGTTAGAAAAAGTCAGAGTGAATCTGCATTGAAGGTGCAACTTTCAACAAGGACAGGGTGAGTGAAATCTGCAAGCTCTCCATTAGATAAAACAATTTATTATGTGAATTGACAGCTCATCCTGGCAGTCTCCGGAGGGGCATTTCATGGTTTGCCTTTAATGACTGACTTAGATTTCAACAGGAGTGATGTGGCAGTGGCTGTGGCGTTTTTCCCCGTGGTGTAAATGTACCTACCACTGAGACTGGTGGGGGTTAAATGTACTACCACTGAGCTGGAGTTAAATGTACCTACCACTGAGGACTGGTTGTTAAATGTACCTCCACTGAGTGGTGGTTAAATGTACCTACCACTGAGAATGGAGGTTAAAATGTAATACCAGTGAATGGAGGTTAATGTACCTACCATTGAGAGTGGTGGTTAATGTACCTCACTGTGACTGGTGGTTAATATGTACCTACCACTGAGACTGGAGGTTAGAAATGGTACCTACCACTGTGACTGGTGGTTAAATTTACCTAACATGAGGCTGGAGGTTATATGGACCTACACTTGAGACTGGTGGTTAATAAATGTACCTTACACTGAGACTGGTGGATAAATGTACTACACTGAGGGACTGGGTGGTTAAATGTACCTACCACTGAGAATGGTGGTTAAATGTACCTCCACTGAGAATGTGGTTAATGTACCTCCATGAGGACTGGTGGTTAAAATGTACCTACCAATGAGGATGGAGGTTAATGAACCTACCATGAGATGGTGGTTAAATTTACCTTACCACTGAGGTGCGGTGGTTAATGTACTACCACTGTAGACTGGTGTTAAATGTACCTACACTGAGATGGTGGTTAAATGTACCTACACTGAGACTGGTGTTAAATGTACTACAATGAGATGGAGGTTAAATGTAACCTACCACTGAGATGGAGGTTAAATGTAACCTACCATGAGGTACTGGTGGTTAAATGTTTATACCTCCACTGAGACTGGTGGTTAAATGTACCTACCACTGAGACTGGAGGTTAAATGTTACCTACCCTTGAGAATGGTGGTTAAATGCACCTTTCCACTGAGTCTGGAGGTTAAATGTACCTACCTCTGAGATGGTGGTTAAAATGTACCTACCAATGAGGGGAAAACAGGTGGTGGTTTAAATGTACCTACCACTGAGAACTGTGTGGGTAAATGTACCTACCACTGAGTGGTGGTTAAATGTACTACCTGAGACTGGTGGTTAAATGTACTACCACTGAGACTGGATGTTTAAATGTACCTACCACTGAGACTGTGGTCTAATGTACCTACACTGAGACTGTGGTTAAATGTATACCATGAGTTGGAGGTTAAATGTACCTACCACTGAGATGGAGTGTTAATGTACCTACCACTGAGATGGTGGGTACTTGTACCTACCACTGATGACTGGGGTGTTAAATGTACTCCACTGAGACTGGAGGTTAAATGTACCTTACACTGAGACTGGTGGGTTAATTGTACTACCACTGAGACTGGTGGTTAAATGTACCTACCACTGAGACTGGTGGTTAAATGTACCTACCACTGAGACTGGAGGTTAAATGTACCTACCACTGAGACTGGTGGTTAATTGTTATACCTTGAGACTGTTGGTTAAATGTACTACCATGAGACTGGTGGTTAATGTTACTACCACTGAGACTGGTGGTTAAATGTACCTAACCACTGAGATGGTGGTTAAAAATGTACCGTCCACTGAGACTGGTGGTTTATGTTACCTACACTGAGACTGGTGGTTAAATGTACTACCACTGTGACTGGTGGTTAAATGTACCTACCACTGAGACTGGAGGTTAAATGTACCTACCACTGAGACTGGTGGTTAAATGTACCTACCACTGAGACTGGTGGTTAAATGTACCTACCACTGAGACTGGAGGTTAAATGTACCTACCACTGAGACTGGTGGTTAAATGTACTACCACTGGGGTCTGGTGGTTACAAGTACCTACCACTGAGACTGGAGGGTTAAATGTACCTACCACTGAGGAGACGGACTGGTGTGGTTAAATGTTACTACCATGAGACTGGTGGTTAAAATGTACTAAGCACTGAGATGGTGGTTAAATGTACTACACTGAGACTGGTGGTTAAATTGTACATACACTGTGACTGGTGGCTAATAAATGTACCTACCACTGAGAACTGGTGGTTAAATGTACCTTCACCACTGAGACTGGAGGTTAAATGTAACTACCATGAGACTTGTGGATTAAATGTAACCTACCACTGAGGAATGGTGGTTACATGTACTACCTGGGATGGTGGTGTTAATTGTACCTTCCCACCCTCCCCTGGCTGCCCCCTGAGAGACGGGTGGTTTAAATGTACCTTACCACAGGGACTGGTGGTTTTAAAATGTACTACCACTGAGACTGAGGTTAATTGTACCTACCACTGAGACTGGTGGTTTTAATTACCTACCCGGAGTACTGGAGGTTTAAATTACTACACTGAGACTGGTGGTTAAATGTTACCTACCACTGAGATGGTGGTCTTAAATGTACCTACACTGAGATGGTGGTTAAAATGTACCTACACTGAGGACTGGAGGTTATAATGTACCTACCACTGGGACCTTGGAGGTTAAATGTACCTACCACTGAGATGGTGGTTAAAATGTACTACATGGGACTGGTGGTTAAATGTACCTACCACTGAGACTGGAGGTTAAATGTACCTACCACTGAGACTGGTGGTTAAATGTACCTACCACTGAGACTGGTGGTTAAATGTACCTACTGAGACTGGTGGTTAAATGTACTACCATGAGACTGGAGGTTAATGTACCTACCACTGAGATGGTGGTTAATGTACCTACCACTGAGATGGAGGTTAAATGTAACCTACCACTGGATGGGGGATAAATGTAACCTACCACGAGAACTGGAGCGTTAAATGATACTACCACTGAGGAACTGGGGGTTAAATGTACCTACCATGAGAGGTGGTTACATGTACCTCCCACTGGGACTGTGTGAGTTAAATGGGTTACTTACCACTGAGGGACTGGTGTTTAATGTACCTACCATGAGGACTTGTGGGTTAAAGTACCTCACTGAGATGGAGGTTATATGTACCTCCACCGAGATGGTGGTAAATGATACCTACCCACTGAGGACTGGTGGTTAATGTCCTACCACTGAGACTGGTGGTTAAAAGTATACTTGAGACTGGTGGTTAAATGTACTACCACTGAGACTGTGGTTAAATGTACTACCACTGAGTGACTGGAGGTTAAATGTACTACCACTGAGCTGGTGGTAATGTACTACCACTGAGACTGGTGGTTAAATGTACCTACACACTGCAGGACTGGTGGTTAAATCGTACCTACCATGGAGTGGAGGTTAATGTTACTACCACTGTGACTGGTGGTTTAAATGTACCTACCACTGAGATGGTGGTTAAATGTACTACCACTGAGACTGGAGGTTAAATGTAAACCCTACACTGAGGGATGGTGGTTAATGTACCTACCACTGAGATGGAGGTTAAATGTACCTACCACTGAGACTGGTGGTTAAATGTACCTACCACTGAGACTGGTGGTTAAATGTACCTACCACTGAGACTGGTGGTTAAATGTACCTACCACTGAGACTGGTGGTTAAATGTACCTACCACTGAGACTGGTGGTTAAATGTACCTACACTGAGACTGGTGGTTTAAATGTACCTTACCATAGAGACTGGAGGTTAAATGTACCTACCACTGAGACTGGTGGTTAAATGTACCTACCACTGAGACTGGTGGTTAAATGTACCTACCACTGAGACTGGAGGTTAAATGTACCTACACGAGGACTGTGGTTAAAATGTACCTACCATGAGGACTGGAGGTTAAATGTACCTACCCACTGTGATGGTGGTTAAATGTACTACCATGAGACTGTGTGTTATTAAATGTACCTCCACTGAGACTGGAGGTAAATGTACTACCACTGAGGATGGTGGTTTAATGTCCTACCACTGGGACTGGAGGTTAAATGTAACTACACTGAGGACTGGTGGTTAAATGTACTACCACTAGGTGGTGGTTAAATGAACCACCACGGATGGTGGTTAAATGTACCTACCATGGGACTGGTGGTTAACTGTACCTACATGAGACTGGTGGTTAAATGTACCTACATGAGACTGGAGTTAAGTACCTACCATGAGATGGTGGTTTAAATTGTACCTACCAATGCGCTGGTGGGTTAAATGTACCTACCTCTGAGGACTGGAGGTAAATGTACCTACACTGAGATGGAGGTGTAAATGTAACCTACCACTTGAGGATGGTGGGTTAAATGTAACCTACATGAAGGACTGGTGGTTAAATGTACATACCATGAGACTGGAGGTTAAATGTACCTACCATGAGGATGGTGAGGTTTTAAATGTAACCTACCTGTGGACTGGTGGTTTTTAAAGGTACCTTCACTGAGACTGGAGGTTAATTGTACCTACCACTGAGACTGGAGGTTAAATGTTACCCTTACCATGAGACTGGGTGGTTTAATTGGACCTACCACTGAGGACTGGTGGTTAAATGTACCTACCACTGAGACTGGTGGTTAATTGTACCTTACACTGAGATGGTGGTTAATGTACTAGCACTGAGACTGGTGGTTAAGTACCTACAATGAGACTGGTGGTTAAATGTACCTACCTGAGATGTTGTGTTAAATGTACTACACTGAGATGGTGGTTTAAATGTACCTTACCACTGAGACTGGAGGTTAAATGTACCTACATGAGATGGTGGTTTAATGTACCTAGCACTGAGACTGGTATTTAAATGTACCTACCATGGGACTGGAGGTTAAATGTACCTTTACCACTGAGATGGTGGTTAAATGTACCTACACTGGGATGGTGGTTAATGTACTACCATGAGACTGGAGGTTAATATGTACCTACACTGAGGACTGGTGGTTAAATGACCTTACATGCGGAATGGTGGTTAAATGTACTAGACTGAGACTGGTGGTTAAAAGTACTACCACTGAGACTGGTGTAAATGTACCTACACTGAGACTGGTGGTTAAATGTACCAACAATGGAGATGGTGGTTAAATGTACTCCACTGATAGACTGGAGGTTAAATGTACCTACCATGAGACTTGTGGTTATATGTACCCTCACTGTGATGGTGGTTAAATGTACTACCCTGGGACTGGAGGTTAAATGTACTACGCCA